GGCTGGGGCTGGGCTGCTGCTGATAAATGCTGATAGCCTGGTGGCACGTGGTGAGACCTTTGTCCCTGGCCGCGCCTGGATGTTCCTTGAGATGGAACAGAGAGAGATAACATATTTGATTGGAAAGTGGAAGAGGCAGGACCATGCCAGAGTGACAGTGCGGGCCTATCCCGTAGGCTCATTTCTGGCTCTGCAGGAGTGACCGCCAGCTTGGTGAGCTCGGAGAAGAAGCGGGCACGGTGTCCTGCCCAGGGTTCCCAAGGCGGCCCTGGGGAGACGCCTCGTGTGTGTGTGTGTGTGTGTGTGTGTGTGTGTGCGTGTGTGTGTGTACGTGCAAGCATACCTGTCGGGGAGCGGGCCCTGAGGTCCTGTAGGGGTCAAGGGGGAACACCCAAGCTGCCTCCTGCGTCCCCTGAGCAGACAGGAGCCTCCACGTCCGGAGGGCTGTTGCTTGCGCTGGCTCGGTTCTTTGCCTCTCTCCTGCATTTCCACCGCTGTGCTTGGTTCCTGGAAAGATGTGCCTCTTGAGGCGTCAGTTCTCTGTTCACGTCTAGCTTTCGCGGTCTGCTGGGATCACCCTGCCATTCTGCCTAGTTCCTCAGAGCTCCTGGCCCGTTACGCCGTTTCCTTCCAACATGAGTTTCCTAGGTGGTTTCCAGGAGTGAGATCTCCTTGTTGTTGCTTTTTTTTTTTTTTACGATACAAAATAGACAATGAAAATTGGGTGAATTCTCCCCTCTGGGGGTGGTGTTTGCTGTCTTGTTGTTCAGCCCTTTCTGGACTATGATGTCTGCTTGCCGAAGCAGGACCCTGGCGAGTTGGCAGACCCAGGCCTGTGTGTCTTGCCGTTGATCAGCAGGAGCGCATGGCAAGAGAGGTTTACCAGCTGCCGGGTTGTTCTGCGTGTGAAGGGCTCGCCGGTTCCTTGCCACACTGGGACCTTTAGCATTCTCCATCCTTGCCCATCTGTCCAGTTTGTTCCCTGTTGTGAAGGACGATGGCGCGGGCAGTCCTGGGTGCCTGGATGGTGTCCCTTCTAAGCAGTGTTGGTTCTGCTTCAGGCCCTAGATGCACCTGTTTGCAGAGCGCAGTGTCTGCCTTCGTTGTACCTGTGCGCAAAGCATGCCACGGCCTGGAAGCGCCCTTCCTGCAGAGCCAGCTGTGCCCTGGCCAGCCCCCAGTGCCCGGCCTATAGCTCCCCGAGGAGGAAGACGGCCCAGGCCAGAAGTGCACCCTGAACGGCTGACTCTGGTAAGTGCCTAGCCCTGCAGCCGGGCCCGTGCGGCTTGGCAACTTGGCTTGCTAGGCAGAGTCCGGGAGAGAGAAGCACAGCCAAGCCTTCCAGCAGTTAAGGGGGACCCAGCTTTTCCTTGGCACCCTTGCGTTCTTTTATTATTTTTAAGAATTATCCATTTGAAAGACAGAGTGTCCATGTCCTAGTTTACTCCCAGCATACATACAACCACCAGCGCTGGGTCCAGCCAGGAGTCCAGCTGCCTCCCATACCCCCGCGGCAAGTTGTCAGGTCTTTGAGCCACTGTCGACTGCCTTCCCGGCTCCCTGGGCAGGAGGCCTGACCCGAAACAAGCACAACAGCTGGGTCTTGAACTCAGGACTGTGCAAGTTGTGGCTTGACTCCCGAGCCATGCCGCCTGCTCCGGGGCCTGCCTCCTGAGTGGATCCACTTGGGGGGCCACAGCAGGGGTGAGCATGAGGGCCCAGGGCCACACAGTCCCTCCACGGACTTGTGTTGCGGTACCACACTCTTGCAGGAACCCCTGTGTGTGGAAGATGCCCCCCCGACCTGCACCCCCAGGAAGGTGCTGGCTCGGATCTGCACCAGGGCGAGGACTTGTAGGTAGGGAGACACGTGGAGGACTTGGCAGGTAGGCAGAGTCCCAGGGCTCCATCTCCACTGCCTTCGCTGCAGCGACTGCCCTGAGCCTTGGCTGGCATCTCAAGCCAGGGTTGGCCCGCCTGCCTCTCGTCTGTGTCAGGAAAGCTGTAGTGGGATGGGGCTGTGCCCACCCTTATGAATGTACTACAGTTTGACCTTACAGTGGCCGACTGTAGTAGCCAGCGCCAGGAACCACCTCCTGCAGGGAGAACGCATGTGCCCTGCTGCTCCCGCCCCCACCCCGCCACGGGTGGGTCGGGCGTCCAGGCCGAGAGCTCCCAGCTTGAGCTGCTCAGGGGCCACTGCTCTCCTTCTCCCATCCTCATTTTTTTTTTCCCATCAAGACAAAGAATGCTTTTTGTGACTGTGGAAGCCAGCACTGCCATTTTGCCTGGCAAGGCTGAGGCCCCGTTTCAAGCCCAGGAGGGGCCAGCAACCCTGAGATGATCTTGGGGGAGGCGCCCTTGGAAGCTAGAGGCCCTGGACTCCGTGGGTCGACAGCTTGGCTTAGCGGTCAGAGTGCCCCGTGGGACGTCCAGTTCCCATGACCACATCCCTGGCTTGAAGCCCCAGCGCTGCTTCCCGTCCAGCTTCCTGCTGATGCACCCTTTGGGGACCCGCAGAGGAGCCTCCGGTCCCGGGCAGCAGCCCCAGCCATGCAGGGAGCGCTCCTCGGCCATGCGGGTGCTTGCCTGCGTGTCCTGGGTCGCTGCATCTGGCTTGGTGCGTGGCGAGGGCACACTGGTGTTTTAGGCTTGGGACCTGCTGTGCTCCCCACCCGCACCTCGCTGTCCTGTACCCCTCGAGCTGCCACTCCTTCCCAGGGGCCACAGCAACCCCTGAGGGGCTGAAAGGCCGGTCCCTGAGGGGCTGAAGGGCCGGTCCCTGATGCCCAGGTGGCTGACCTACAGCCCACCAGGTGCTGGGTGAGCCCCAGAGGTAGTGCCAGCCAGTCCCAGTCCCCCAGGCCGTCAGGAGACCCTGGGTGGGCCTTTTGGAGGTGTTTTGGGGGCCCAGGCAGCCTGCTCAGGGAGGGTATGGGGGAGCTGCACAGCGGGGCCAAGTGCAGAAAGGACTCATCGAGCTGCGGTTCGCGGGGTGCCGGGGACGAGCTGGGGTTCATGGGGTGCCGGGGACGAGCTGGGGTTCACGGGGTGCCGGGGACGAGCTGGGGTTCGTGGGGTGCCGGGGACGAGCTGGGGTTCATGGGATGCTGGGGACGAGCTGGGGTTCGTGGGGTGCCAGGGACGAGCTGGGGTTCGCGGGGTGCCAGGGACGAGCTGGGGTTCACAGGGTGCCGGGGGATGAGCTGCAGTTTGTGGGGTGCTGGGGACGAGCTGGGGTTCGCAGGGTGCCGGAGACAAGATGGGGTTCGCAGGGTGCCGGGGGTGGGGTGCCGGGGACGAGCTGAGGAGCTGAGAGCAGGGAGGGACCTGGCCAACAGGAAGCTTGGCAGGGAACGTCCTGGCAGCCTTACCCCACGTGGGTCATGGCCAGGTTTCTTGACTGTGAGTCACTGCTGACTTTGGGGGTGGGTGGGGCGGGGCAGAGTGTGGGAGCTGTGGAGGCCAGAGTCCTGGGTGACTTGAGAGGCCCCCCACCCCCAGCGTAGCACCCCTGTGTGCCTACTTGGCCTGGGCTGTGGCCCCAGGGGAGGGCAGGACCTCCCCAGCTGCCACATGGACACAGGTGTTGAGCAAAGCTGAGGGCGGGCCTGGGGGGGCCAGCTCGAGGTGGGGCCAGCTCTCTGGTGCACGCAGTGGCAAGAGACCCCAACCTGTTGCAGAGGGCCCTGGGCAGCTGCGTAAGGCCGAATCCGTGCTGCAGTATCACCTCCCCTGGGCATCCGGGACAGGTGTTCAGAGCTGCCTCTGTCTCTTGCAGGTGCACCCGGTCCCCACCCTGAGTCCCGCAGCCCCTTTCCACCCCAGCCACATCCTCATGGGGGGGCCCCTAATGGTTTGGGTCCTGCTTCTCTGCACCTCTGACCTGCCTCTCCTGCCAGCCTCACACCTGGCCTGGCGGTCCCAGAGCCTTGCCTGGCCCCCCTCCCCTGTCACTGCTGACTTGAGGGGCTGTCCCTCCTGGCTCATGCCTGAGTCAGAGCCTGCCAGGCACCTGGGGCAGCTGGCAGTGTCTTCTGCTGTCCCCTCTGGACTGCGAGCCCTCTGCAGGAGGGGCTGTTGGTGGTGGTGGTCTTATAGTCCTGGAGTTATTGCCCGGCATGAGTGCGCGGCCACAGGGTGAAGGGCAGCTGGGAGAGCGATGAACGGGGCGGCTGTCTGGCCCCGCAGTCCCTCCTGCCGGTGGGCAGCAGGTGACCGTCAGGGTTAGCTGAACAGACAGCAAGAAGCAGCTTAACAGAGAACAATCGTATTCTACGCTGCGGCCATCATCCACACCTCAGGATGACGCTCTGTATTTGAGAATACAGAGATTTTTATACCCAAAAGAAGGCAGATATGACACAAAGGCTTTCATTAATTCTCATGCGAAGCTAGCCATTCTTAGAATAATTATTCTATTGTTAGTAAAACTTAAAGAAGTAAGAGAGAAGACATTAACGCAGCATCTTGGTGTGCTTTGGTCTGTTATTTACAACCCGAGGAGAGCAGAAGCAGCGACAGCACTGAGGCCAGGATGCTGTCTTCGGCTATTTTTAACCAGGGCGGCGCAGAGCAGAGATAACACTGTGGGTTCTGGTTGCCCCTTGGTGTTCCAAGGTTAGACACAAGCCAGGTGCTCTTGGCCTGAGAATCACTCCCTTGCCCACTGATGCCCTCAGCTCCTCCAGCTGATGGCTCCCTGGCACCCATGTGCGAGTCAGACCGGCCCAGCCCTGTCACTGTGGGCGTTTGGGGAGTGACCCGGAGAGGGAAGATCTGTCTTCCTCTGTCTCTCCAAACAAAAATGAAAACGTTTTCAGGAGGAGAGCGTGCTGGATACCGTGGCAGATGAGTGGGAGGGCGTGTGAGTGGCTGCAGGGCAGGGTCTCCCGGCCACCTTCGGAGAACCTGAAGGGGAACTTGGCCGCGCCCGTCTTGGTGGTGAGGGGTCTCGCACCACTAGCACAGCTAAGGCCTCGGCGCTCTCTCCGCTGCCCTTTGCAGCCCTGACCCCTGGTTGGCATAGGTCAAGGCCGCGGTGCCCTGAGCGCCTCTGAGCAAGTGCACAGCAGGTGGCTCTTGCCAGCCAGCCGTGGTCTGCACCTTGAACCCCACTGCCCACACAGCAGGTGTGGCCCACGTGGCCGGGTGTGGCCACCCCAGCGCCTTCCAACCACGGTACTTTCCTGGGTGCAGATCCCCTGGCCGAGCAGAAGGGTGCTGTCGCCGCCCTGAGAAGCCAGCTGGCCCGGTCCTGCCTGCCTGCAAGATGTGGCCGTCCCTTGTGCTCCTGTGGTTCGCCTGCTTGTCCCTGACTGAAGGCCACATGGTGTCCACCGATGCTCGTAAGTGAGGAGGTGGGGTACCTGCTCCCCAGTCCACGGGGAGCCCCATGCAGCTCCAGCACGTGGGGTGCTGGGCTGGGAAGGTTTTCCAGGAGACCAGGCAGCTGAGCCCGGCCTTGCAAAACTTCCTGAGTGTTCTCGCCCCCCCACCACCCCCGATTCAACTCATCCTTCAGATGTTCATCTAAATCGCCCCTCCCAGGAGCGCCCTCCTTCGCAGACGCCGTACCTAGTCTCCGCGCTGTTCAGCTCGAGGCTTCTCGTCCAGCGAGGCGTTCTGTGTGGTCTTCAGCAGCGCACGTGTGTGCTGCCTGGCCACGTCGAGCATCCTGGGTGCGCTTGCGAACCCAGTCCAGCAGCGCCCTTCTTTGGTCTTTCATGCGAACGATGTGTCTCTTCTCTCTGCCCTGAAGGGATCTTAGTCCGACGAGAGATCTCGGGGGAAGCAGATCCAGAGGCCAGTAACAAAATGTCAGCTAACAACACTGCGGTGACCACGGGGACCTCGGTGGCCAGCCACACCTCCACGGAAGTCACAGCAGGGACAGCAAACAGCTCACACACGGCTGCTCCGGCTTCTACATGGGGCACAACAAGGACCATGACGGCAGTGATGGGGACAATGCCAGTAACAGGCCAGGTGGCCTCTGTAGCTCCCTCGTCCACGACGTCCAGGCCCACCACCCCTGGGCCCACGTCCCCTGGGCCCACGTCCCCTGGGCCCACCACCCCTGGGCCCACGTCCCCTGGGCCCACGTCCCCTGGGCCTACCTCTGTGTGGACAACCCCACCCATCACTTCCACTGGGCTCCCGCCCTCCAGTACAACTATTGCTCAGGTGCCAAACAGCGTGCTGCCCAGCACAGCCACGCCAGCAGCACCAGCTACACATGCCCTTTCCACTGCTCTGACCTCTGCAGACATGAGCCGTCCCATGGGCACCCCCGGGAACGCCACAGCCAGTCCCCACTCACAAGGCCCCACATTACCACAGCCCACTCCCTCACCCACAGCCCCGGAGCCCACACCCTCACCCACGGCCCCACAGCCCACACCCTTACCCACGGCCCCACAGCCCACACCCTCACCCACAGCCCCACAGCCCACACCCTCACCCACAGCCCCACAGCCCATGCCCACTCCCTCACCCACGGCCCTGGAGCCCACACCCTCACCCATGGCCCCGGAGCCCACGCCCACTCCCTCACCCACAGCCCCGGAGCCCACGCCCACCAGCTCTGCTGTGCTGCCGCCAGCAGTGACAGCCACCAAGCCGCATGGCAAGGAGCCGACCAGCGGTGCTGTTCCAGCACCTAGCACCCAGCTGACCCCTCGGGTGCAGACCACACCCCCCCGCCCCACATCGCCTGGTGTGCCAGCCACCGCTCGGACGTCAGAGCAGGGGGAGACTAAAGCCACGGGCAGTTCTACCTCCAGCTCAGGGGTCTCACCGCCACTGCCGGCCACAGACTCATGCCCACCCAGCACGCGGGGCCCATACCTGGTGGTCACCACCAGGCCGCTGACCCCTTTGCCCGTCAACAAAGCCATCCTGCTGGTGGTGCTCATGCTGGGCGTGGCCCTGTTCGTCTCGGTCCTGGTCCTGTTTGCCCTGCAGGCCTACGAGAGCTACCGGAAGAAGGACTACACGCAGGTGGACTACCTGATCAACGGCATGTATGCTGACTCGGAGATGTGAGGAGCCTGGGGGGCCGTGGCTGCACCAGCGCCACCCAGACTCCCCTGCTGCAACCTGGGGGGTCGGGCCACATGCGCCTACGCACTCGGCTGCCGGCAGGTTCATTCCACGGCCGGGAGAGAGTTGCTGCTTCGGTTTTCATATTTATTTTTGTAAAGTCACACAGCGAGGAGCAACTGGGGCATTCTGCCACAGGTCACCGCCGTTGGTGCCCCTGCGGAGTAAAATGACGCTGCCTTCCAGTCATTGTGGTCGTGTCTGCGTGTCCTGTCCACAGCCACTCCCTGTGGCACCTCATTATCTACTTTTTAAAGATTTATTTTTATTGGAAAGGCAGACATACAGAGAGAAGGAGAGACAGACTGTCTGCTGGCTCACTCCCCAAGTGGCCAAAGCTGAACCAATCTGGAACCAGGAGCCTCTTCCAGGTCTCCCACACGGGTGCAGGTCCCAAGGTTTGGGCCGTCCTCCACTGCTTTCCCAGTCCACAAGCGGGGAGCTGGATGGGAAGTGGAGCAGCCGGGGTACGAAGTGGCACTCGTATGGGATCCTGGCACATACAAGGCGAGGACTTTAGCCACTAGGCTATTGCGCTGAAACCCCCCATGATTTTTAAGCTTTATTTCTGTCCTGCTGGCTCAGTGCCAGCACCCACTAACAACCAAGGTCAAGCCAGGCTGAGACAGGAGCCAAAGCCTTCCGTCCCGGCTGCCCACGAGGGTGGTAGGGGACCACAGGCTTGTCCCTCATCTGCCCGCCCCCACTGGATCAGAAGTGGGGGAGATGGAAGTCGAAGCAGGTGCTACAGTCCGAGCTGCGGGCTCTCTGCCCGCCCTGCTGCTCACTCGGTGCCTTTGGACGGGCAGGAGTTGGGGTTCTGACAGCGTCCAGCCTGACGTTGTCCTGAGGTGCCCCCAGTCCCAGCACTTCCTGGGGCCTCCCCACGATGCCCACATCTGCCCAGGCACTCGAAAGGCGAGACCCCCCTGGCCATCTGCCTCCGAGGTCTGACATGGTTGCGAAAGAACGGGACCCAGCCTGGCTGGCAGAATCCCCGCAGCCCGTGCCGCCAAGGGGGCAGGGCAGTTACTGCTAGCACGTGGGGCCCAAGTCAGCCTCCCTTAGCAGGACCATGGGCACTGCAGGTCCCCGTGCCAGGCCTCTGAGCCATCATGCTGTGTGTGAGCCAGTGCTCGTGCTGAGTGCCCATACCTCACTGAACCCCAGCCAGGCAGTACCACCATCCCATGCTTGCCACAGGACCACCAGGGCACAGAGGTCAGTCACCCACCCAGGACCAGGGTCAAGGGTAGTTTTCACTTTTTCTTTTTTTAAGATTTATGTTGGTTCACTCCCCAGACAGCTGCAGTGGCCAGGGCTGGGCCAGGTGGAAGACAGGAGAACTCCGTCTGGGTCTCCCACGTGGTCCAAGCGCACAGGCACTTGGGCTGTCTTCCACTGCTCTCCCAGGCACATTAGCAGGGAGCTGGATTGAAGTGGAGCAGCCAGGGCTTGAACCAGTGCTCACACAGGATGCCAGCTCCTAGAGTCAGGGCCATATCCTCATTCTAGTACCGTGATGCCTTCTGCCGTTGGCCTGGGCCAGGCTGTGCCATCTGGCCGCCTGCCCACTCGGCCACAGGAGCCAACAAGCAGTCGCAAGCCAGGAGCACCTTGCAAGGCTGTGTTCCCAGGGTGGGTCTGGAGAGAGTGGTGGAATGTTCTGGAACTCAGCTTCTCCATCTGAGAGACAAGAAGACAGAACAACCTCCTGTTGCCAATGTGGCCGGGAGTGCCCAGCCCAAGCTGGGGCCAGGGAGTTGATGGCAACTGTAAAATGGCTGCCATCACCAGGACCACGGTCTCCGGCTTCCCCTCCCAGAGCCTCCCCACCCTGTGGGGGGCTGCTGCCCAGCTTCCGATGGCTTCCATCACCTCCACAAAGGAATTCGCATGTTCTGGGCCAGCAAACAGGACGGGGGACTCCGAGGCTGTCTGAGCTAACTTCAAACCCAGGAGGCACAGTTCGCCCTGCTGGCTCCTGACTTGCTCTGCCACCGGTCTCTGGGTCTCTCTGCCCTCTGTCGTAACTGACTCAGCCCACACCTGGGCTGCAGCTGCGGTTTCTTTCTTCCATCTGCTGGTTTGCTCTCCAGGTGGAGGCCAGAGCTTTATTTGGGTCTCCCACAGGGTGCAAAGGCCCAAGCTCTTCCTCCAGGTGCAGTAACAGGCAGCGAGAACATGAGCGGGCCCCACGTGGGACGCCGGCACCGCAGGTGGGAGGCTCTGCCTGCAGTGCCACCACGCCTCCCCCCACAGGCTCTGGTGGTGGCCGCAGCTGGTCGGTTCGAGTCCCCTGCAGCTCTTCTCAACACGGGAAGACCAGTGAGGAGCCTACATTTTCAACTTTTCAATATTAGAAGGAAGTACCTGGGCCCAGCGCGATACTGTAGCAGCTAAAGCCCTCGCCTTGCATGTGCCGGGATCCCATATGGTCACTGGTTCTAATCCCGGCAGCCCCACTTCCCATCCAGCTCCCTGCCTGTGGCCTGGGAGGGCAGTGGAGTATGGCCCAAAGCCTCGGGACCTGCACCCGCGTGGGAGACCCTGCAGAGGCTCCTGGCTTTGGATTGGCTCAGCACCGGCCGTTGTGGCTGCTTGGGGTGTGAACTATCGGACGGAAGAGCTTCCTCTCTATATATCTGCCTTTCCAATAAAAATAAATCTTAAAAAGAAAAAAAGAAGGAAATACCCAAGACAAGCTAAGTCAGAGAGAAAGGGTTCATTTGGTTCCCTGTTTGTGAGGTCCAAATCCAGTGGTTCGGCTTCTGGAGAGGCCAGCGGGGAGAGGCTGACCAAGGCAGGGATGCGTGCCGGAGTCCAAGCTGCTGCAGCGGAGGAACTGCCCTGGACCGAGACTGGGCGTGGGCAGGCCTGATCCTGTGACCTACGGGCCGCCCAGCAGACCTTGCCTCCTTCCAGGAGCACCACAACCTTCAACCCGGGTCTGGGAGCACAGAATCATGGCAGCTGCGGAGTCCTCAGCCCGTGGGCGCCTTGCGCCTCCTGGGAGGTGAGACCACCCCCCACGCCTGCACCTTGCAGCTTGGGGCCAACGTCCCTCAGCAGGTGCTCTGCCGCTTCTCAAGCAGGGATCCCAAGAGAGAATAGCGGCCCCATACTTCTCTCCTTACAGACCCCATTGCCGGCCTCCCCACATCCTCCCCAAAGCCAAGTTCAGCATGGACCCCCAGAAGGTCTTGCTGGCCGTGTCACCCAGCCCAGCCGAGCTGTGAACCTGGACTTGGGTCCCATCAGCAACCGAGTGTACTTGTCATCCATGGGTCTACCTGCCCACTCCAGCTTGCAGCCCAACCCTGGCCATCCATGTCCCTGCTGCCAGGGACCAAGCTGTGCTTCCTCCTCCCAGTCCAGGAGCTCACAGAGGGGCCCTCCTGCGTGTTCATGGGAAGGGCGCCCATCCCCTCATGTGGGAGAAGGGAACAGGAAGGCCGGGGTTCTGGCCCCATCCTCCACCGGGCAGACATTCCCGGTCTCCCAGCAGACAGGGCCCGGGCAGAGGAAGGCCACGCGCGCCCCCTGGCGGCCGGCGGCCGCGATGCCCAGCCTGGCTCCCCCAACCCAGTTCGCATGCAGGTGTTGCATCCCTGCCCTGTGACCTGCGGGCCATGTCGTTCGCATGCAGGTGTTGCATCCCTGCCCTGTGACCTGCGGGCCATGTCGTTCGCATGCAGGTGTTGCATCCCAGCCCCGCCAGGTCTGCCCCCAGTCCCAATCCCAGTGGGAGCAGTGGCTCAGCAGGGGAGCCCCCTGCAATCCCCCCCTACCGTGCTTGCACGCACCCCCGGGCTCTCACATGTGCTGGTGGGTGCTGTGGACTTCGAAGGAAAACCAAGGGAGCCGTTGTGACTGTGTGAGAAGGTGTGTTATCAGGACCCAAGGCCTCAGTCCATCCTCGGCTGCTTTCTCGGCCATCCAGGACTCAAACCGGCAATGAAGGCTGGCGCCACAGACACAGGCTGTGCTGCTCCGCTGCTCTGCCACCAAGCCGTTGTTACTATTATTTTATTTTAAAGATTTATATAGTTTTGGGCCTGGCACGATAGCGTAGCGGTTTAGGTCCTCGCCTTGAATGCACCGGGATCCCATATGGGCGCCGGTTCTAATCCTGGCAGTCCCGCTTCCCATCCAGCTCCCTGTTTGTGACCTGGGAAAGCAGTCAAGGACAGCCCAGAGTCTTGGGACCCTGCACCCACGTGGGAGACCCGGAGGAAGTTCCTGGCTTCCGGCTTTGGATCAGCTCAGCTCCAGCCGTAGCAGCCGCTTGGGAAGTGAACCATCAGACAGAAGATCTTTCTCCCTGTCTCTCCTCTCTGTATATCCACCTTTCCAATAATAAATATATATATATATATATATATAAAGCTTTTTAAAGAAAGATTTATTTAGTTTTATTAGAAAGTCAGATTTACAAAGAGAATGATCTTCCATCTGCTGGTTCGTTCCCAAATTGGCTGCAACAGCCAGAGCTGAGCCTATCTGAAGCCAGAAGCTTCCTCCAGGTCTCCCACACGGGTGCAGGGTCCCAAGGCTTTGGGCCGTCCTCGACTTTTTTCCCAGGCCACAAGCAGGGAGCTGGATGGGAAGTGGTGCAGCCGGGATTAGAACCGGCACCCATATGGGATCTTGGTGTGTTCAAGGCGAGGACTTTTGCCACTAGGCCATGGCTGCTGAGCCCTATTTTTTATTTTTTCATTGTTTTTATTTTTAAAAATATGTTTTCCAATCTTTCTTTTTTTGCTCCTGAGAATTCTGCTATGAGCTGCAAGCTGACCAATTCTCTCTCCCAAATGAGCCGGAGGTGCTCTTAGACGCTCGGAAGTCCGTATTCACCGGCGGTTGACTCTCGTTGCCACCACAGCTCCAGACGGAGCAGTCCCAACGGGCTGCTCTCAGAAGCTTAAACGCTGTCCGATCAAGCAAGCTGGTCGAAGCAGCTTTGCTGAGGACTCCATCGCCTTCCATTTACAGTGGGATTGCTCAGCTGAGTTCACCTGGAACCTGTCCTTGTCCTAAGAGGATCTTGCTTTGTTTACTGCCACTGTCTACATGTTATAGTGTGAGAGAAGAACCAAGGTGGCCGTGAATTTCCTGTGACACTGCAGTGCAGCGTTTGCCTTGCATGGCCTTATGTATTTGCTCCA